AAAGGCAACAACTGCCGCAGCTGCTGGTGTCCGTCAGTTTCCATTGAGCAAGACTTAAGTGATAGCGTGCTTGAATAAGAAGCCCAGCTTTTGTTCGCTAAGAAGCATCTGCTGGCTTTGTACATTGGCCTGGCCGGTTGCAGCGCCATCTGCTGAGAGAGTCTCGCCTCTGTCAGCAGCAAACCCTGAAATCCGAAGACGGCTTGAGGCAGTCTGACAAGCTCAGAAAAGCGTTTAAAAGCATTTCTGAAAGCTCTCAGAGCTACCAACTGTGCCAGGACTTGCTGGTTTCTTCTGCGAGGGTGTACAGCTGAAGCGCTCAAACGAAACTGCTGCAGTGTCACCCCCGCTGAAACTTCACCAGCTGTCCCCAAACCCACCCGACAGGAAGAGACTGAGTGTTAAAGTTTAAAGGACTTCAAGGGCTTGGACTTTCCCTGCTTGGAGACAAATGCCTCAGCTTGCATCCGGGGCTTTTGGCAGGGCTTGGCTCCCGCGGCTTGATGATTTAAAGCATCAGTTTGCTGCTGCCTCGGCGGTGCACGACCATGATCAGCAGAGTTTTCGCTGAGCTTTCGGAAACTGTTGGGGGGGCTCACACTTAGTCTCGGAAGCCTGGGCTGACGTTCCGACGATCCGTGCTTAGTCCTGTGTCGCAAGGAGCTGGCGAAGGAGCTGGCGAAAGCTGGCTGGCTGCCTTCCTCTTCAAGCCGTCATGATCGCCAAGTGCGCGGGGCTCAGTCTGCACACGCTTCTGCAGTAGAGTCATTCTGGCACGCAACTCAGACCTCAAGCAAAAAACACTTCGAACGAACCCTTCACAAGGCGGCTGGCCCTCAAGACCATCACACCTACTTTGCATGAAGGGCCCTCCGGGCATCATGCCAGGCTCCGCATGCCGCTGAATCAAATCCATTACAGTCTGCTTGGAGAGCTCTAGAACAGCATCTTCAGCACATTTTGACAAGGGCGGTGAAATACAAGCTGCAAGCAAACCATCGCGGCCCCCAGCAAAATGACCGCATCATTGTGAGACAGCTCGTCCAGCAATTTGTCAGGATTCATGTCAAGAGCTGAGCACGGGAAGGAACTGTGCGCTGTGTGTTAGAGCAGCTAGGCTAGATTCGTCTGCAAATGACATCAGGGCTATCAATGGCGGCATGCCTAGGTCCAAACCACTTGAGCTTCTGGCTTTCTGTAAACAAGACGATACTCTTCACACCCAACTGAAAACACATCAAAACAAAGGATTGCTAGAGGCATGGTGGGAATTCCTGTGTGCCTGAAACAGACAAAGGCACTAGGCCGAGGGTGAAGCTTGGAGGGGGCTTCCTGGCTGCCTAAATTGCCCATGTGCTATGGAGACTTGATGAAACACCGAAGCTGGAGCGCAATAGAAGAGAAATCTTGTCCTTGTCTTTCGCTTACCTGTGGCTCCCCTAGAATCAGCTCTTGCCAGACTCACGCCCATTTTGGTAAAAGACGACGCTCTGTCAATTACGGGCCATACGCGCCACCACAGAGTCTGCCTGAGACTGCATGTCCACCAAACTTGGCTTGTCACTTGCCACTGATTACATGTGCTCAGGTGTCGCGAAGGAAGACAATGCCCTTGCTGCGGGTAGTGCAGTTTTCCAGCACAAAAAACATGCAAGCCTTCTAGGCAGGTGTTGTATCGCCATCATCACGCTCGCGCCCTCAGACAAAGCAGGACATCAACGGCATGTTGCACCATCGCACTCCCTGACTCCCTGACATCGCTTCCATTTTCGGCTGGACCGGCCCGCATGCAGAGACAACGTCAGCGAAGCGCTCAAAAAGTCAGACGAGATCATCGAGAGAGCCAAGGCAACTTGGACGGGCTAAAGTGATCTAAAGTGGAGTTAACCAAACGACGTCCAAGAGGCGACGATCTGCGCTTCCTCGGGAGGCCTTGGCGATGTTGTTGCTTGCGCGGTGCCTTTCGCTTTCGTTGGCAGACCTCAGGGCCGAAAACGCATATCCAGGGTCCAGTTTTTTTTCTGTGTTTTTCTGGTTTTTTTCGTATTTTCATGGTCTTGGGTTTAGGGTTTCGGGTTTAGGGTTTTTAGGGTTTTTAGGGTTTTTAAGGGTTTTTAAGGGTTTTTAGGGTTTTTAGGGTTTTTAGTTTTTAGGGTTTTTTGGGTTTAGGGTTTCGACTTTAGGGTTTAGGGTTTAGGGTTCACCTGAAACCAAAAAAAAACTAGAAGACGATTGGCCCGAAAGCATCGATTTGCGGTGCGTTGAGTCTATGCACTTGACTCTGTGCGCTCGAGCTGTATGCACTTGGACAAGTGTATGCACTTAAGTGTATGCACTTATATGGTTGCATACTCACTTGTATACTGCACTTGTATACTGGACGTGTATGCACTCGAACTGCATGGCACTCAAGTGTGTTGAGTTGAATGCCATGCACTTGTGGTCAACTCTATACACTTCATTGGCATTCAATAGATCTGAAGTAAACGGACTTGAACTGTATGAACTTCACTTGCATGCACCTGACTCGGCTGCGCACGTCCTGTCAACGCGATGCTATGAAAGAAAAGACAAAAACATCTAACGCGAGAGCCGTCAGCCATGAGCATCATCGGCAGTCGCTCTGAAGTCCAAGCTCACACTCCAGAGCGCCTTTCAAAGAAAAAAGGACAGAAGAGCGAGGTTGGCAAAAAGACCTTGGAGCTTCAAAGAGCAGAGAAGCACAGTGAAATCTGACCGAAGTGAGTTTCGCACGCCGGGAATTAAATAACAATGAAATTTGCGATGTTTTCGCACGCTCGGCATTGGAGCACCATGTGATTTTGCGAAATCATTAACCATGGTATTTGCGATGGTTTTGGTACCAGCGAATTCGGGGACCATGGTATTTGCCATGGTTTGGAACCAGCGAATTCGGGTATTTGCGATGCTTTTGGAGCCAGCGAATTCGGGGACCATGGCATTTGCGATGCTTTTGGAAGCAGCGAATTCGGGGACCATGGTATTTGCGATGCTTTTGGAACCAGCGAATTCGGGGACCATGGTATTTGCGATGGTTTTGGAAACAGCGAATTCGGGGACCATGGTATTTGCGATTCTTTTGGAAACAGCGAATTCGGGGACCATGGTATTTGCCATGGTTTGGAACCAGCGAATTCGGGGACCATGGTATTTGCGATGTTTTGGAACCAGCGGAAGCTCCTTGCGATGGTTTTGGAAACAGCGAATTCGGGGACCCTTGCGATTTTTTGGAAACCAGCGAATTCGGGGACCATGGTATTTGCGATGGTTTTGGAAACAGCGAATTCGGGGACCATGGTATTTGCGATGCTTTTGGAAACAGCGAATTCGGGGACCATGGTATTTGCGATGCTTTTGGAACCAGCGAATTCGGGGACCATGGTATTTGCGATGGTTTTGGAACCAGCCACGGAAGCTCCTTGCGATGGTTTTGGAAACAGCGAATTCGGGGACCATGGTATTTGCGATGCTTTTGGAAGCAGCGAATTCGGGGACCATGGTATTTGCCATGCGTTTGGAACCAGCGAATTCGGGGACCATGGTATTTGCGATGGTTTTGGAAACAGCGAATTCGGGGACCATGGTATTTGCGATGCGGTGTTTTCAGACGCCGAGGGCGTCCGCGGCGTACTACGTCTGTACTAGAACAAGTCGACTTTCCAGCCACGGAAGCTCTGCGTGTCCGCGGCGTACTACGTTTGTACTACAAAAATCGACTTTCCAGCACGGAAGCTCCGGGTGTCCCCGGCATACTATACGTCTGTACTACAAAAGTCGACTTTCCAGCCACGGAAGCTCCGCGTGTCCGCGGCGTGCTACGTTTGTACTACAAAAGTCGACTTTCCAGCCACGGAAGCTCCGCGTGTCCGCGGCGTACTACGTTTGTACTACAAAAGTCGATTTTCCAGCCACGGAAGTCCCCGGCGTACTACGTCTGTACTACACAAGTCGACAAAAAAGCGCAAAAACACTACGGTTTTCGCACCGCGACCACGCGAAAACCCGCAGAGGGGTTACGTTTGCATGTCAAGAAACGCAAAAACACGATGGTTTTGGCACCGCGCCAACGCCGAAACCCGCAGAGGGGTTACGTTTGTATGTCACAAAATGCAAAAACACGACGGTTTTGGCACTGCGCCAACGCCGAAACCCGCAGAGGGTTGTCTGCGGCCACGAAAAAAAGAACCAAACACGACGGTTTTAGCACCGCGACCCGGCGATTACCCGCAGAGGGTTGTCCGCGGACACAAAGAAACGTAAAAAAACGACGGTTTAGCACCGCGACCACGCCGAAACCCGCAGAGGGTTGTCCGCGGACACACAGAAACGTAAAAAAACGACGGTTTTGGCACCGCGACCACGCCGAAACCCGCAGAGGGTTGTCCGCGCAAATCAAGAAACGTAAAAAAACGACGGTTTTAGCACCGCGACCACGCCGAAACCCGCAGAGGGTTGCAATCACGATTGGCGATGTCAACCCAGCCCGCCGCCTTAGAAAGAGTAATTTTAATTTAGAAATCTAGGACTGGGTACGAAGGTCTACTAGATTCTACGTAAATCTCGTAATTTCTATTAACTTCTACTTCACTCTATGCAATTCACTCTATGCACTTCACTCTATGCACTTCACTCTGTGCAATTCACACTATGCAATTCACTCTATGCAATTCACTCTATGCACTTCACTCTATGCACTTGACTCTATGCACTTCACTCTATGCACTTGACTCTATGCACTTCACTCTATGCACTTCACTCTATGTTGTTGGGTCAGAGGGCTCCGCACGGAAGAACCCTTCGCGATGCTTTCGGGAAAAAAACACTAAAAACAAACCAGAAAAAAACACGAAAAAAAACCATCAGCCCAGCCCCCTGCGACGTCAGCAGCTGAACTGCATCTAGCACTGGATTTCTATCTCAAGTATCACGACATATTACGACCCAGCCATAATCAAGGCTTGTGGAGGGACGTGGGACACCTAGCGACAGGAATGGACCTTGAGCGCATGCTTGATGCAGCCGTCAAGGTCGTCCTTGCGGTCGTCCCATCCGTGCACATCATCACCGCAGGAGCTGGAGGTCATCGTGACCTCAATCACAGATGGGCAGGGTAGCTACCTTGTTTGATGATGGCCTTGAAGAACGTTGTGGTGCGCAAGCGGTGTGGAAAGTGGGGACTCCAGGACTGGTACATGGATCGCGAGATTCAGAGGTCCGGCACCTGGACAATCTTCGTGCTGAAGTTGATGGACCAGGAAGTCGTGATGCCACCCATGAACATCCTGAACAGTTGCTATTCCAGCGCCGCTCAGAATACTGTAATTACCCACCAAAACTCCCTCATAGGCCGGCGAGCGCATATACGTGCAGCACAGTCCCATGTCTTGCTCTTCCCCCGGCTGTCTTTGCATGTGTGCTCCGGTCAGCCAGGCAGCTCGTGGTGATCGGGAAGCCAGTGGCCGATGGGACACCACCCCATGGAATGCCTTGGAATGCAAAAAAAAGCTTTTGCCCCCATGATGCTCAAGAGCACTCGAGGCCAGCTGCTTAAGACTGGGGCACAGGCCTACTGTAGGGTTACTGGTGTGGACTGGGTGTAGGCGCAGCTGTTATCTTCATTTCTTTTCAAGCATACACCGATCACTATGCTGCATCAGGCCAAATCGCCTAGCCAACGCCCAGAATGATACACAAAGAAAGGCCATTCTTGCTGGTGTGATTCTATCGATGGAATGGGCTAAGGTCCATGCTGCAGCCTTTTACCGTACTGTAATCCGTAGGTACCTTAACATCAAACTGTCTGTCAAAGAGGCATGCCCCATCCAGGCAGAATGTCTTTGTCAGCCACGGACTTCATTCTGAGCCAATCCTCGGCATCGAATCAACAATCTTTCAGAGTGCATCCACCATGTCGCTAACCCTACCGAACAACATCAGCATGTGCGGGCTTCCAACTTGCTGAAACATGAATGCTTCTGCTTGAACTCGGGCTTTTCTATGCTTGTGCTTGAACTCGACAGGAGTTTAAAACTCACTCACCTTGAAGGTGAATGCCTTGCATGAACGCAGCACAAGTTCAGCCTGTGCACATCCAACAGGAACAACAAAAAAAACATGCCTAGATCGACAGAGTCCAATGTCTGAATCTTGGACAAACCTTCCTTCCATTATGGGATTGTTGAGGCTCTACTGTTTTTGGCATGGGTTTTGACACGGTTTTGACTCACCTTCCACGTGGGGCCACGATGTCGAGTGGCTCGGCAAAGCAGCCTGACAGAGCCAGGCTGAAGCACTCTTCGGCCAGTAGCGCGGGACCAACCTTCCAGACACTTTGCGTAAACTAGGCTTTGAATGGCTTTCTCTAAGGACCAGGCGATGCAGCTGGAACCTCAGTCATCCTGACAGAATCCGCGGCTCCGCCACTCTACGCCATGCGCTGGCTCTTGAGGTCTCAAGCTACGCCCCGCATGTCCGCATGGCCCACCAACTTCTAATTCGTGGATTTGTGTAATTGATCTTCGCGTGAAAAGTCGGCAGCGCAGGAATCGGCAATTTCCAGCATGGCACACTGCAGTGCGCTGAGCCTGGCCTCCGTTCAGCAACGCTGCACAGAAAAGTGCCTGGTCTCGAAGTGATGAAAGGAGTCCGCCTCACAGTGCGCAAACTTTCGATGGAGGCACATATTGCATTGTATAGTTTTCTACCAGATGCTTGCATTTGCATGACCAGTTCCATGAAGGATCGCTATATCAGCCGCGGCTTCTCCAGGCATGCGCGGGCCAAGCTGCAGCCAAGCTATTTCTCTGCGCCTGCAAAGGATCCGCAGATGCCACCTGCAAGGAGGTTCTGAACCACTAAATGAAACAAACAGATGTGCTATGCCGCCCATGACACGCGCTGTTTTGGAGGATGTCATGGAGGGAAGGAGAACGCGCAGAAACTAAACAGCCGAAATCGGAGATGCTTGGAATTTTGAAACTGTTAGATGTGCAGGCCTTCGTGGACTTTGGGGCTTAACTGCGTTTGGAATTTTGCCAGTTCAGATCTTGGCTTTCAGGGCACCTCTAGAGCCTTAGACTGGTTGCATGACACACCACCAGGGCATCCAGGGGCTTAGGCTTCAGGGACTTTAGGGGACTTTAGGGCCTAACTTTGTGCTTTTTGAGAAAGTGTTTAATTTCAGACGGGGGTTTTTGGGATTCAGGTTCAGGGCTTCTGATTCGGGCTTACAGGGGTTTACTGAATTTCGAGTGTGGTTTTTGTGCCTAGGTTCGTCTTGGATAGCCTGCTATGCAGCCTACGACCCTGACAAGGAGAAGGCGATCGAGCACTACGTACTCCACCAGACTATGGCGTGCCAGAGATGGTTATGTGAGCGACCGCTTTCTTGGGCGGAAAGTGTTGCGAGGCGTGTTGTAACTTGCCACTTGTATCTTTTTATTGTATGTATAGACTCGGCTCTTGGGTTTGTGAGCTGGTTGTGACAGATAACGGCAACAGTAGCGGACTCACGAGCGAGCTCACAATCCCAGAAGCATCCAAGCAAAACCCTGAGGCCCGCTTGAGGCCCCTGGGCTCCTGAAACTGAAGCAGGAGCCTCCCGACAGCACCTTCAGCGACCGGCCGCGCACCCACGCGCTGAACTGAGCATGGCGGCCATCAACCTTGCGCAGACAGTGACGTGTAGTGAATGAGGCGCCTTCTTGACAACGACACCGCTGGTTACAAACGTGTGTGCTCTCTTTTGCCATGGAGGCGTTGCAGTCACTGCACAAAGCAATGTGCACAAGAAATACCAAATTAAACAAGAATCGCGTCTTGCAGAGAACTTGTTGGCCAGTTTGGTCTTTCCTTGGATTGATGTTGGCCAGCAGTTGTTGTCATGAAAGCCGTCCGATTCAGAAGCAATCACGGCCAACTCTTGAGTTCGAAACCATCCGGAAAATCGTCCGAAAAACAAATCACAAAACCTACGCTTGAACGCGCAGGCCAACTGTAACCAGGCAAAGAAGACACCGACATGCCAGGCAAGGCAGCTTCAAGCGTTCTATTGAGGAAAGATGCTGTGCCGTGACCGTGCCTGTGTCACCTCAGCGCCATGAACAGTGCTGTAACATGCTCGTCTTGTGATTGCATGCCGCACGTACCTTACAACCAAACAACACGGACAGGCAGCATTCCGGTCAAGCAGCGTAGTACGCTGTCAAGCGGCGACGGGCACGGAAAGCGCTGACAGAAAAGGCCTCAACAGACTGCACATGATGGTCGCCATAATGCTAACCTCAAATTTTATAAACACCCCCTCAATTTAGAAACCCGCAAGCTCGGAACTCAATTGCAAAACCCCCCCGCCTCAATTAAGGAACCCCGGTCCGGGGCCCGATGTTTTTTTCTATGGGCCCTTTTGGGTAGGTCAGGGCTTGGGGGCGGCTTGGGACAGTCCGACCCCCCCCCCCCTCAATATAGGGTCGGGGCGAAAACAACAAAACAATTGAGAGGGGGGGGGGGGGGGATTATTAATTCGAGGTCAACAATACCCCACACTGCTGAACAACACATCTCGTGCCACAGCAGGGTGGTGCAACTTGGCGGCCGTGTCCTTCATTCCGATTCTCTTGAAGATGCGCTTCCGGAACAAACGATCCAGCGGCATTCCTGACAGCCAGACTGTACAGCACTGTACAGCAGTGTACTGCACTGTATTGCACTGCGGGCAGCCAGCAGATTGGCATTAGTGGAATGGACACAGCGAGCAGAAGCATGTTGGAGCTCAGCGCACGTGCGGGTTTCCGACAACGAGGGGACCTTATTGGGGTCCTTCTTGTCAGGGGATCCTGCTATTTGGGGTTTATATTCGGGGTGCCTTTTCGTAAACCTCCATATGGGCCTGGAAAGACATTGCCCGACAGAACCTTGCACCGAACCATGCCCAAGTGCAGCTGCGGAGGATAACGCAGTGGCGGACGCGTACGGGGTACGCACACAAACAGAAATCTCAACGAAATCCCCTCTCCAAGCTGCAAGAACCTTTAAGAAACTGCTGAGATTCCAGACACTACCTCCAGCACGCGGCCAAGCACGTCCATTCCCATGGAGTATTCCCACCTGCGCAGCAGAGAGGGGCACGAAGTCCACGTCAAGTTGAGGCTACCTACCAGTAGTGAGGCGAGATCCTTTGATACCAGCACCAAGCCCATGCTGCACACGTGGTTACTTATCTGCTGCCCTAGCGATGGCAAAACCTACATGCATAGCATTGCCAATAATACACAAAGGATGATCTGGATGCCTTTCACCCGGATGGAATCGAAGTGGAACCGCCGCGAGCTCGTCGCAGAAGCGTTTCCTTGGCATCTTGCCACAAGTACCCTTGGGACTAGGACCCCTTAAAGACATCATCTCCGAGACTGGAAAAGTCAGTGTCCGAGTTTTCGCATCCCGGAAAGTGACGTTTCGGCATTTCTCGCTTCAACAATCACACAATGAGACACTTCGGCAAGATGCACCAGTAAGAATCAACCTGCCATTCATTGAGCCAAGACGCACCAACAAGCAAAAAATCAAATACACATTTGGCCAACACACCAACAAGCAAACCACAACACATTGGGCCAACACGCGCGGATAAGCAAAACAACAGCACACGGAGCCAAGACCCGCCAATAAAGCAAAACAACAGTGAATAAACAAAAGCCGCGCCAGTAGGCAAACATGGGACCACACGCTGAGCCGAGACGAACCAAGCACAACAACCACACGTTCGACCAAGACACGACTTTAGGCCAAACCCCACCAACAAGCGCCACACAACCGCACAATAGGCGAAGACAGTCAATTCCCATGATTCATGACCGTATGTTTCGTATGTTCAAACACGCTGGAGGTATGGGTAGGGGGGATAATTCGGAGCAAGGAACTCGCAGACGTCACTTGCCGTTTCGATTTCTGGATTCGTAAAGCCCTACAAGCCTAAAAAAAAATAATTGACGTTTACGAGAAACAGCAAAACTTGGAACTATCCTCAGCCATTGAACCTCAGACCTTGTGGTTTCTCCCCCTGGCACTCTGCCGTGCCATGCCCGATGGTCTCGCTATGCAAGGGCACGGAAAGCAGGCTCGGATAAGAGGTGCAGCGTGACCGCATGACCTCCTTCATTCTGCTAGCCCACTCCCATGGGACATGAACTGACCTCAACGACAGGCCTCGAACAAGACAAGGGCATGCAGCTTGACACACAGATGCAAAAGTCGTGCTGACAAGGTTGGTCTGCACAGACTTTTGGTTTAGGATTCGAACTTGCCGAAATTTCCGTCAAAACACTAACCCCTAAACCGTAGCTTTAACGATTCTGGGGTGAATCATTCGTTGCAGTTTTTTGCGGTTACAAGTTTGTGGCTGGGAGACCACGAGCCACAACAGCACACCCCAAAGCCTTTCAACCCTAAACCCCACCGTGCACTTCTCACACTTTTCAGCTTCCGATCTTTCGAGTCCTTTAGCACCCACTCTTCGAGCTTGTCGACTTGCGTTTTTCTTTGGACATTCTCCGCACGCGGCCACGCGGAGCCGCAGAGCCACGGCCTGTCTCAAGGTCTGCATTGAATGATGAGAGTACATTGTGCAGTCTGGTATGTGTTCGGCGTTCAGGTTCTGACGCAGCGCAAGGTCGGCAAAAAGCAACATGGTGGACATTGACATGGTTGACATTCCGCAAGGCAATGCCTGAAGTTGCAACAAAGAGTCAGGTTGCGAACTTGCCCGGCATCCACACGCTTGACGAAGTGGGTGTAAGGCCCCTCATCCAGCTTATCGCACTTTCGCTCACGCGACGGGCCATAACCTGTCTCCACAGACAAGTCTCAGAAGTTCAGATGCAGCTGGAACGCTTGTAGTAAAGTTACAGTAATTAAAATGCAATGAAGTCATGGAGAGACACGAGTTGCCTGGGCCCGAAAGCCCTCATTCCAAATAAGTACTGCTGTCCGAGACACCCAAGCCAGAGGTGTGAGTGACCAGGTGGCGAATCGTGATCGGGCGACACGCGTTTTCGAGGCCCTTGCGTTTGTCAACCTGTGATGAGTGTTGGGCCACTGCGAATCTGTGATGTTGCTTGGGCGATCATCTCTCATCACATATGCAAGTTCTGTACATGCCCAAGACAAAGCCTGCTGAGCATCGCACCTTCATGTGCCGAAAAGCCGGGATGTACTTATGGACAGGGTCGTCCAAGCCAATTTGGCCTTCCTGCACGGAGTGGCTTGCTTATGCCTTGCCAAGCCTCGTTGTGAACCCATTCGGAACCAATCCCTTTGCATCCGGGGAGTGTAGGACAAAGATGCGGTGTGTTGAACATACAGCTGCGTTGCCTAATCAGCCTTCTCTAGCGACGAGCTGTTTCCTTCTCATGTCCAGGGTACAGATTGTACAGATTGTGTCTATCTATCTCTTGCAAAATGAATGTTGCAGAACCTGCTGTGGTTTCAGCAATGATGCCGTCCTCCCACAGCGCCATCAGCGCCACAGCCGTGATCGGCTTCCTGAAGCGGGAACGGGCCATGGTCGCCATGGTCGCCATGGTCGCCACGGTTCAACCAAGCAAGCAACATTCGGATCAACGTCAAGGTTCCTGTTCAAGTTGAACTGTTTACCACTGCTCTGCACCCGACCTGCTGCTTGATTCCAAAGCTTGCCTTCAAAATCCAACAAAAAATCATACGTTGTGCAGGGCTATGAGGCCCCAAAAGGGTACACCAGGATTGCATTCGAAATGACATTGCTAGCCACACTTCACACGAACCTTTTCACAAGGCAGTCGAACTTCACACGAACCTGCCAGCCAAGTCTCGTCATGGAGTGGCAGCGAAATAAAGACTTGTCGGTCATAGGTGTTCGTGTCTCCTTGTCCTGGCCGTGACGAGGCAAGCAACCCAAAATCCGTTTGAAGCGGCAATGCCATGTTGCTTGGGAACGAAACTAACGGTTTACAACTGACGGAAACAATGGCATTTGTCCGTGCAACAGCGCGCCTGGTAGCCACGGATGTCAGCATAGACCAAGCAGTTGTCTTTCAGCGCGCATTCTGCAACTCCCGGCATGTAACCTCACTCATGCAGACGGACACTACCATATCATGAGCCACTTCGGATACAACACCCTTCGCTTTGGACTTCTTGATGAGGAGTAAAGCAAAAGAACCTGTGAACGTTCGCCTTCAAAGCTTCGTCCGGGAACTCAGCTTGAAGAAGGCGAGTTTCAAATTCTAGTTCCACAGCCGAACTTCTCACATGAGGTATCCACTGACCAGGCACCACTCGCGATGTGCTTCTCGTTGGCCTACGAAAAAAGCAGTCATGCACGCAAGAGCACGCGCGCATGGGGATTAAACGTTATGGTTATCATCACGCTACCGCATAAATGACGGTCTTCGGGACACATTGTATGCCTGCAATGCGAATGGAACTGTGAAACTGATTGAGCTCGGATGAGCAAGACAACTCCTCGATTGCCCAATCTTGAATCTTAGGGCCCAATGTTGAAGTTCAACATTCTGATGATGTTGAAGTTCAACATTGGGGCTGGATCTCTTCAAATGTGAACGGTGGGACTTTGTACCTGCCTGCGGGTGACTCATCCGGGGAGGCCTTGAGTCTTGAATCTTGTTTCCAGCCACAACCTTGAAGTTCAACGTTGGAATGTCAGCCTTCAACGTTTTGGTTTGACTTCGGGGTTTGGCTCCAAGACTCAAGATTCAAGCATCCGGGGAGACCTGGAATCTCAAGTATCAAGTCTTTTGGATTTTAAAGGAACCAACCTCCAAACCCAGTTATCAGTTGTCCACCTGAAAACAGTGGATACCCGTAGGAGGGGGAGGGCGGTGGGGCGTGATGGTGGTATCGATTATTCTGAGTAGCACATTTGCTTGCAACCTCTAACTGCTATCTTTGAAGCGTGGACTCAGGTCGGCGCCTGAAAGATGGACACTTCTCTCCAACAAACAACTGCTCCTATACATATCTCGTTGTTACTAGCTTGATCTACTACCATTCACCTAACTCTACACTCAAAGCTTTTGGACTCTAAACTTCGGTACACCTGCTTGTTCACTTCACTCACTCTTCAGCCTATCCCTGAACCGCAAGGGGCTTGGGGCCTGAATGGGCTTTAGTTTTGGGATTTACAGTTCAAAGTTTTATGATTCTAGGGCTTGGCAGCGAACAAGACCGAGACAGAAAACATGAACAACAACAAACTAGGGTGGCGCTTATAACCCTCTTCAAACCCAATAAGGGAAATACAAAATGTCCCAAGGGCCTACCGGGCCTACCGAGCTTACAGTCCACGAATTCTCTCCAGGGAGCGTGGATCTCAACCATAAACAATAGTCGCACAGCATGTTGTATTTTCTCAAAGTAGCAGGAGGTAGTTCGTACATGCAAAAAAGACACCTTGACAAATTACAGAACCATATTAAGTGACATTGGGCATCTGGGGCAGAAAAGACTTCCTATCTGAGCAAGGAAAATTGGAGTAAATCGACCCTGGGCATCCCGAAGCTACTTGGCACAAACTCAAAACCTGAAACTTAAACCGTTTTTTTGGGACCCAAATCCTAAACAATTTCAATAAACCCTAAACCCTCCACTCCCTTTCCCTTGTATGTGCATCAACACCAAGAACGCACCCTTGGAATTTCAGGCATCACACACACCACATTGACTGACACTTGCGCAGAATGCCTTGGTTGCTGTATCCGGCCTCGCTGTGTCTTGCAAGAACATCGGAGTCGAGGCCCACCTCTTCAGGTACTCCTTGGACTGATTGTGCAGGAGGCGTGCAAACGAAACACCGCAAACCACCACCACCAACAGCCCGCATGATGAATGATGTGTTTTTGAAACATTCTGGCGATGACAGCAACGGTGACCATTGCATCATGGCTGCGAGGCGGCAGGCCAGGCAAACCTGTCTTTGACCAGACAAGTGTAGGACCAAGTGCCGTGAAAACTGAAAAGTAACCAGCATCAAAAAGGAACCGCACAATTCTTATGTAAGGTTATCTGCCTCAAGGGCCTATAGTCGATGTCGGCTTAGATCATGCCAAAGCCATCACTTCTTTGGGTCATGGCCTGTCTGGTTGTCTGCATTGCTCCCAGATGTTCAGGCAAGCTGCAAATCTTGTGAGCAAGCGGAGGCTTGCCCGCAGCTTTGGACATGATCCTAGCACCTTCTCTAGGTAGAGCTTTGCGAAAGGTACACGCACTTTAGAGTTCGGGAATTCACAACTCCGGCCCCGTCCTAGCATATCCATGGCCAAACTGGACTTACCTTCTTAGCATGCACAAAGCCCGCACCTCATATTAGCACGATTCATGCTGGTTTGTTGGCTTGATCCTGACGAGAGTGACGGGAAATGTGCGAATATGGGGCCCATATAGGGGCCTATGTGCACAGCATTGGCCTGCTGTGATGTGGGGTTCGGGTACATGGGTTGAAAGAGCATTCTTCTTCTGCCGACTTCTGGCTTAGGCTTGCTGCGGTACTGCAAGCCACAAAGACACTGACACATCCCATGGTGCTCATGAGGCGTGCGCGATGCGACCGATGTTCAGGTGGTACTCACTTTGCGCCTTGGGCACCCCAGTGACAAACACGCCCCCATGCCTTACTCCACATGTTCGCGCGCTGTGCCTTCTACGCCCCCCTGAGCCTAATTCCAAACCCAAATCCAAAACTGGCTCTAAGGTCCTATGCCTGTAGCCTTCAGGGCCTATGCGAACTGCGTGAACTGCCAAACATTGACACACTTCTGCAACCAGGTCTCTGAGTAGCCCCGGCAAAATGTACACTTAACAAACCCTGAATCGCACATGCATGCTCGGCATACACTCGTTCTCTAAGCCTGCTGCCTTGGGTTTCCTCTCCAACGTAGTCCCACCCTGCACGACAACTAGAAAAGGAAAGCTGCGGGCTCGCGACTCACCAAGGGCCGTGGCATTTTATGCAATCACGATGCAAACCGGCAGGCACAGGGCTCATGAACATAGACCGAGTACAAATCCGCAGCCAATTTTGTCGGAAGTCAGACACGGCCCTTCTGCGCCAAGCACGCCCTACCTCGGCCGAGAGCGCCACGTGGAGCTGGACAGGTGGGCGGAAGCCCTGCTGCCAGTGACCTTTCTTTTTCTGTTCTTCCAAAGGCTGGGTGCTGGGGCCCCTGTTGTTGGTGCTTAAGATATCTTAAAACCGCACCATTCAAGGGTATACTCGCCCATCTCAAGGTGCTCATCAACCCTCTTTACTACCTCTTGCACTAGGCTGCCGACAGCCGAAGATCTAGGCAGGACAGGAAGCTCCGCATGTCAAGAGCCTGTCGAGAGAGAAGGAAACGACGGTGATTCAGTGATGCACGCCTTGAGACATGTTAGTGGTACAGTATGTCAGTTCTATCCGCCTCTTGCATGCTGCTTTATTTGATTTTGTTTTGTGCTGCACCGGCCAACTTTTGCTGAGACCGTGAAGAACCCTGGCGCTTGGCTCGCCTCGAGGGAACTGCCGGACGTGCTTCCATCTCTAAGGTCACTGTGCCGGAAGGTGTGGGAGCCAGATACTGAAAGCGGAGGGCAATGGGGGGCACAACGCGGGAACAATTTGCGACGATGAGCCCGGGAACTCACTGGGAACAGTATGAACAGTGTGCCAGTATGCAGCATGCAGCCAGCTAACGTTGAGCCACGCCAAGACTGGCGGCCGAACACAGCTGGCAAGGCCACTACCGACGAAATCAGAAAACTAATCCTCGGCTTCTCCAGCCCTTTCAGCCACGGAACCACGCTGTTTTCCGTTTGCTGCTTGCTTGCTGTCAGCACGCACATCAAGCAGGAGCAAGCTCTGTCAGTTTGGGCTCGCTTGCAGGCCAAACCATCGTGCCTGGACGCCTCATGTAGAAGTTATCTACCCACTCAGGGACCCTCATCCGCCCGCTCTGCTATGCGTCTCCAGGGTCCACAGCGCGGCTGGCATCCGACATCGAAACATCGAAGCGGAACATGGCAAAGTTCAGAGCTGCCGACTGCAGCATCAGCCCTTGGGCTGGGTTTCTGGGCTCGGGATATCTCGAAATGCTCGGGCCAGTCCGTCAGGCTCCATGGGGCATTGGATCATCTGGCATCATCTGGCAATATCCGGGGGCAGAACACCCTGCTCCGGTCCCTCCTCGGCATTGCAGCTGGCGACTAGAGCTACCAAAGAGCCTCTCTCTCTGTCTCTCTCTCTCGCACACTCGGGAATCCGTCAGCTACCAAAAAGCCTCAAGCTCTGGAAACTAGCTGCGTGCCACAAACATGTTGGCCACAGCTACCAGGAAATAGCGGCCAGAATGAAGACTCAACATCACATGACATTACGAGGTGCTGAAGTAGCTCAATTCTTGTGTTCAAGCGAAGTTGGGTTGAGAGGATCCCCCTGACGCTGCTCTGGCATTTGATGCAAGACGACATGCAAGCCTAGCTGGCGTCCCAATCTATGCCCAGTTTCACAATAGTCTGGGATTGCGCGCCCTGCAGCGCCATGACCCTCGGTGGGGTCGCAAGGGTGGCACATCCACACATTCAGCACATAACCTTGGCGAGCGAATCAAACAGCAACAGTAACGCAGCAGAAAGTTCTACAACCTAGAAATTCTGGGGAAAACTTCGAGACCTCGAAACCAGCCCGAGCAACGAGGCTGGTCGCCGTTGTGGGTCACGCTGTGGATGAACGTATCATCAAAGGTGATCACTTCCCCCTCCACCCACCGAGCCGTCTCCTGCAGAATTGAGCCGTGACATGCTCTCTGCATATTCATATGAGAACCGAGACGATACCTAGGTTAATGATGATCTTGTCTATATTAAAATTAAAAAAATCGCAGCAGGGCAGTCATGCCCAACCGACATGTACACCTCGCCGTCGGGGACCAAAAGGGCCAGGTGAGCCTCAAATCGGACACCGCGTGGCGTTGAAATCCGAAGAAACATATGCATATGTGCGCTTGGCGCATCCACAATCCTAGTGCGGCTGAACTCCAGGGTCTAGTGCCACGGCCCTGAGGCATATGCAGGACTTTGTATGACTTCATGGGGAAGTCTCATGCCAAGCCACGCTAAGCCGTGGTGCCCCACCAAAGTGTGGCTTGAGCCGGCCTGAAGCCAAGAACATTTTTCAGAGAAGCCTTCGTTCGTGCGCATCGGTCTGTGCAATCCGTTAGATAACGTGTTCAGTGGTCCGATTCTACACTAAGAAGTGCTGCGCGCCACGTTCACAGCATGCCATGCCTCCTGGTCCCATCCGCAAGAAGCCCGAGCCGGAGAGGCCCGAGTGGCACTCCTGGGCTTCAGAGGCAAAGCTCCCAAAACAGATGAAAAAGTGTGAAAAAAAGCCCTCGAAGATTTTGCAAGGGCAGCTCAATCGACTCGAGCATCGGCAAGTTCCGGGCGGGTACGAAGCAAAGCACAAGTCCTCAGATTGGAAAATGCGACAGCTTGCGGCACCCAGGAATTTACAGCACCCCTGTCAAAGCGAGTCTCTGAGGCGCGTGAGCGCAGACCAGCTCATTGAATGCCGCTCCACGCACCAGGTACGCAGTTAGCCAGTCGTCATCCCGAGGGCCAAACTGAGGCTCCGCGTTGCGGGTGACCTTGCACATGCTGCAGTTGCTGCAAGTTGCTTGTGGGTTCCACATCTCCGCGACGATGCCTGATTCATCAAGCTGAAGCGATGCTCCTCGTTAAGAATCGCCAACCTGACCAGGCAAGCTTTACATTGAGCGGGCTTGCCTACACAGGCCTGGACTCATTTACTGGACCCGTTGCCAGTGTGACCGGTCGTTTCCCGATTCGAGCCCTGTCTCCCAAACAAGATTGAAAGCGCCGCAGCTGCCAATCAGCTACAAATTAACCTGCACGCTTCGCACTTGCTGTGGAAACGGGTATATTTCGCAACCCTTCGTGCAATTCATCTCGATGCAGCTCCCTGGCCAAAGACGCAGAGAATGCGGAAAACTGGGCCGGGAGGCAGTTCACCCTTGATGGTGGGGAAGTTGTCCTCCAGGAAGGCGGCGATCGGGACCTGGCAAAGCCCATCTTGTGACTTTGTGAGCGTTGTCACTGCGTTGTCCAAGTTTTGAGGCAGAATGTGCTTGAGAGCACCTGCTTTTTGGCATTCTTCCAGATGGGGCCCTGGTTGACCACGGATGCCTAGCACCAAGGTAAGGGAGGAGAAAGCCTGAGTTTGCCTGGCTTCGCTTTGTGCATTGCCGAGAGACCGGGAAGTAGTCAGCATTCAGACTGATGTCATGGGGAGATGTCAGCTTTCCTGCGTCTCTGTTGCTTCTAAACATCCCAAGAAGGTTAACTGTCACTCATCATTTATGCACCGCTTGCTTGCAGATGCACACCACCTGCGGGGTGACTTCTGAAGATTCCAGCTGACAAGATGGAGAGCGGCATCTTCTGGTAAGCGTGCTCTTGCATCGCTGAAACGGTTTACTGCACAGTCTCGACAAACCTCAACTCCTGGGCTAAAGCATGACTGCCACCTCCTACAATGTTCACCAGACATGCTGGACATGTTGCTACCTGCCTGCGTGGGGACCAAAAGCGGGCAGCTGCCGCATAATCTGGAAGTACCGCTGCGCAGACTGCAAGACTTCCGTGGCTGCACGAACATCCATTTGGGTGACAGCAAGGTATCTCCCAAGCTCACTTGCTATCCTTGGCTTCGTGACGCTCCGTGATGTTGCGTGACTTTTTGTGTACATGCCTTAGATATCATTTGCTTCAAGCTGAGAAACATCAGCAAGTACCGCCATCGCATGTGGCAATTGCGCTGAAAGAAATCCTGCCTCAGTTGACAGCCACGTGCCAAAAACAAGGCCTGCGCACTGAGCAGCTGATAGCAGGCACAGGCGACAGCCTGGAGTGGGCAAACATTGATGTTCTCACTGTGTTTCCATTCATTTCCTGAATGTTCCTCCAACCAAATCGATACCTGGCAATTTGCGATGCGGGGTCTACGCCCTTGGCGGTCTCCATGTTTGAGCAGCTTTTTCTGCGTTCAGTTCTTGGGGGCAGCAAGGATGACCTGCAAAAGGGCCAAAGGCCTGAACGCTTGCTCATTTTACCCTGATGCAGTGGAAGGCTGGGATCCATGCAGCTGTTGAAGCTCAGCGATGCTGCAAAGAAATCGCAAGCCAAACGGCCTGTCACGACATTCACCTCACAAAACTGCAAACAGAGACTGAAAGATGCAAGGGCAATGGACAACAAGAACCCCAGAACCGGCGCATGAATCTGAAAAGGGGGGAACCAGACCAGCTAACAGATACTTACAGGTCTGTACTGTGTCAACCATTAAACGGACATGGGAAGGTAAAGGGCAAGAAAGGGGCATCACGGACTCCAAGTGGCACGATCGTTGCCTGGCCCTTCCCACCAGAACCAGGAGTACAAAGACATGGCAAGTGCGTGGGCTATGGACGGGTGGTTGTACCTTGGCAGGTGCAAAGACTAGCAGCCACTTACAGAGAGACAACCGCATCACCAATGAAATGAAACTTCACCACCTCTCTATGGCATTGGCAGTGTATGCTTTGGAAGTCCTGAAGATAACGCTGGCCTCTAATAATTCAGCTCCGTCTGCCCATGCTCTACGAGTCTCCGCATCTGCTGCGTCAGCTGATCCCATCTTTTGGGGTCGAAGCCTCCTCGGTGTGATTCGAGAAAGTGAGTACATGCTGAAGAGACCATGCAGGCACTGGTAAAGATCGAAAGGGGGTTGAGAGGTTGTGGGTTTCAGAGTTCCGCTTTCGAAAGCTCCGAACCCGAGGAACAAATATTGCAGAAGAGTTTTGTGGGCACTAGCTCAATCTGTCGAACTCTGAATCGATCGGCCTCGCCTGCGGCGCCCTTGCCCCTTTTTTGATTGCAAAAGTTCCGCTCCCGCTCCCACATGCTCATGACATTTTCTGGAACGGCTGTCCAGTCTGGATACATGGTCACAGGGTGCATATCGCAAAGGTCTGCAGTACGTAGACATACAGTAGCATTCTAAGCGACAAACACACCGTATGCTTCCAAACAAGCACATCATGGCATCCCTGAAAAGTCCTCTGATGTCCCGGCACTGCAGGCCCCCATCATCAGCATGTTCACAATCGGCCGATTGCACTGCAGAGAAGAACGCCCTCTCGAACAACCTTGAGAATCCAGGGATGCTGATGGGGCCGTTCCAACAACTCTGCACCCGGCTTCCCCTCCTTTCCAAGTCACTTGTATATGGGCTGATCGTTCAGTTGGTCGTCTGTCCGTGACAGAACCAAGCCATCCAGAGTGAACGTGGACGACGTTGCCCCTTGAGCTTGCGAAGGTTGCGACTGCACCTGCCTCCTTGGGAAGGGCGCTCAGACTCTCGGCCGGGAGAAAGCCCAAGGGGGAAATCCCTAGCATCCCACCACATACTAGTTACTAGTTGGAAAAAATGCAGTTGCAAACCATCACATGCCTTCTAAGATCAAACCTTAGCAAAATTCCGACAACATCAAACGGAAAGCTCGTCTGCAGCATTCGTCCCGCGGACTGCATGTCGTTGGCGCACGCATCACTTTGAGAAAAACGAGGCCATGGGTAGTTCTGAGAAACGAAATTTGCACAAGCCAGCCACTTCTACCATTGCGGCATTCCGACTCCACAATATGCACACCCCTTGATCTTGACAGCTGCCGAGGCACCACCATGGCGACAAGGAGAACCACAACAATCCACAGCCGGGCAGCTGCCAAGGCATGACTTGCAACTGGAAACAATCGTACGCAATTCGCAATTTTGTTGCACAATATTCTGGTGGTGTGTTGGCTGACATAATAATCAGGTTTTCCATTGACTTCATTGACTAGCACTTGGCGGTGCTGATACTGTAAAACTAGAACTAGAATATTGTCTGCGACCTGTCTCAAGATCTGCTGTGAGGTACTGCTAGCATGACTGCAACGTTGCAAGTGCCGAGGAAATTGAAGAAATCATGAGTTGATCTAGGCAATACATGTGGAAGACACAGCTGACAACAGCTGCGTCAAGGATAGCATCATACATGCTCAAGTGAAACCTGGGCAAAGAATGTCTGTTCTGTCATGGCCCGACGATTTGACTAAACGTTCTCCTCCAAGTTGTAGGTGGCCACATGCCCAATGTTGTGCGTGTGCCTAGTTGATGGCGTGGGCCTCGGGATCCTTTCCTGCTGCGTGTGAGAAGCCAAAACTCTTCACGGGACTTGCGCAGGGGCCATCGGGAAGCTTCTCGGAAGGCTTCGCCTCCCATTCTTGCTGCGTTTTGCATCTGTTGTCGGGCACCTGCTTGGGGACCTTGTGGCCACACGACCCCAAGCGATGTAATTCAAGTTTGTGGAGGTATCGATGGGGTGCACATCATGAGCGAACCAGGCCCTGGGCCTCAAAGCGGCTACATCATGCAGTGGCCCATCCCCTTAAGCTCTGCTTTACTCCGCTGCATCGCACTGAGACGACAGTACAAGATTGAGTCAAACGGGATGCTGTAATATACAATAGAAACAGCTTTTCACTCGGGCTTGCGCCAAGCAATCAGACAACTACACATGAACTCGGCACAGGGCAACCAAGCTCATTCCAAGAAGACCGGCTTCTCCTTAGCCACGTCACGAGAAGATGCAAAAATTGTCTGGGCTTCTTGATTCGTGGAAACCGTATGCGTGGCGCTTTTCTGTCCCTCCTTTCCCATCAACCAGAAAGTCCAGTCTCGAGGATGCGAAGCAGATCTTAGGTACCTCTTGCCTTCTGATTGCATGTGCTACATCCAATGTTGCAGTTGTGTAGCGCCAAACCCTACTAAAGGCTAAACCCCAATTTTCTTTGCATTAACAACCACCTGCAAGATTCACTTTGTCCTGACCGCCGTCTCCAGTTGGAGGTGGGGCAGGGTAGCAATCTACACCTCAAGGCCTCCTATAGGCCTTTGGACATCTTTGGAGAGAACATGAGAACAGCTTTCAACGGGCGCGTGGCGTGCGATTTCTGCAGCCGAAGATACAACCGGGCAGCACTTGACTGGTACCTTTCCAGGCAGTGTCGTGATCAAGAGGTTGGTTAAGTCATAAAATGAAAAGAGATCGCACGCGAGCTTGTTCCAGTTGGTTCTTCTCATATCACACCATGAACCCTGTGAATCTTCGGTTTCTGCAGATTTGGTGACCTGCAAAAAATCACACACACACACACACACACACCTCCTTTTCACAAGGCACTCGACTGCTGCCCTACACACCCACACACCCCTCCTGACCCCCTAGACCTTTCCATGTCTTGTGAATGCTTCGATTGCTTTACGAAACCATCGTGTTGCAGTTCGGACGTGCTGTCTGAAATTTCGCTTTGTGCCCCGTTGAAAGAGTCCTGATGCGCAGGGAAACTTGGGTGTCTGCCATTCATCATCTGCCAGATCCACAGGTGCTCGCTAGGTCCGGGGCCGGCGGAAAAAAGGGCGAAGGTTTGCGATTTGCGAACCTCAGAAAGGTTGGGCAAAGGTTTGCGAAGGCAAGGCAGGTTTGCGAACCTTCGCGAAGCCAAAAGGGCCTGTTGTCGTGAAGGCTCGCGAACCCCAACAATGCTAGGCGATTGTTAGCGAAGGCAGGGGGAGTTTGCATACCTCAACGCCGTTTTGCGACAGTTCTCCCTTTGTCTTTCCCTTAAAGTGCCGGCAACATTCGTTTTGCGCATTTGTTTGTGTCTGACCCACTCCTCCTTTGTTCGCTTGTTCTCCTCCTTGAAGCTCGCCTCTGTCACCCAACCCATCCCTCAACCGCCTGTTCTCACACCCCTGTTGCAAAGAAATAGGATTTGCACGCAACACGCAACGACATCCAGAATAGCCCTGCTTTGATGTCGCGAAAATCGCGCTGGAGCCCTTGCGGTCATGTCAAGTAGCAGTTTGCAGCGATTCGCCAACGATTCGCAGATCCAACTTTACGACCCAACGCCACCTAGGTCGCACTTAGCATTCTCTGCCCACAAAGAGGCGACTACATGTGATGAGAAGTTCTTGTTTTGCTTCCGTTTTTCTTGGGTCTCCTCTCTTTTCCTTTGCAGCCTTTGCACTGTTGCACAAACTGCTCACAGCAGAGTCGGCAGGTGCCGAGGCTCCGAAACATTTCTTGTGCGATCGTCCTCCCAGCCGCAAAGCCCGTGAGCCTTGAGCAAACGACCCTTTCACTTCAACCAACACCCCACATGCACAGGGAGAGATAGGGAGGCCTTGTGCGCCATCAGTCCCTGTTGAAGCTCCTCAGACGCCGGTGCTGTGGTGACGACCAGCGCTGGTCGGAAGAGCTGACCTGCACTGGACCAAACGTCCAACAAAAGTGGACGTCTGAAATGTGGGCTTGGGTCTAGATCTCCGGCTTCGACTTGGTCACCCAGAAAATCGGAGCTGGGGCCTGCCCCACATCTTTCAAGATTTCCGAAAGGACTGGCTACCGGCCGTTAAGCCTTCAAATGCTGCTTGCAGGATTTGGCATTGCACCGGCCCAAGATTGCAGAAGAGCCCGCCACAACCCGCTGTGCATGCATCCACTGCATCCGCCAACTGCCAATGTGATGATAGCTGAGCTTGACACATAGAAACATGCCGGCCTGAAGGCGAACCTCAACACTAGAGTATCAGTGACGGCTTCCGACACAAGTTCAGCCTCCTCTGACAGGCTTCACACCATTTCACACCCCACACATTCTGACATGACGAGGCACATGCTCCCACCGCGACGGGACCGAAGTCCTGGAGCTCCGCCGTGGGCCCCTGTGAAATAAGCGGGGATTCCAGCGATCGGGATAAGGGAGGGGCATAAGGGACTCCTGCAACAGGCAACAGCAAGGTGCATAGACACCACGATCAGTGCAAAGAAGTCGAGCAGGGTTTAGGGCGTACGCACAGCATTTGTGTTTGGGTTTGATTTTCTGGTTTGCAGCATGTTGGGCTTGACAAGGTTGAGAGTGTCGGAGCTCATACCAAATACCACCTGCCTGAAGTCTGTATTCTGCCACCTCCTACTAACGAGACATGTACCTTAGACTGAGACTCTTAAACCCTGCCGAAGCGCCATGAAACAAACGATGCACTCACGCAGGTTAGCCGCAGATCCAGCGCGGCCCATCGCGAGCATCACTGCAGCACGAGTTTCGTTGCCACAGCTTTCACCACGTTCATCGGCTGCTGATGCAAGGATATCCCCGGTGGGACCAACGACTGCAGCAAGGCTTTTGAGCTTCTCAAGCTCCTTTGCAATCTTGGTCACAAAGAGACGCAGCTCCCAGTTCTCAGTCTGCAAACGTTTGCTAAGCCCCAAGTCGTTGGGTGGCACCTCACCAATGTCTGCAGCCCAATCCCATGGGAAGCGAGTGGCGAAAGTCTTCATCATGCACTGTGCGTGGGCATTCGACAGGTTCACTATCTGCATCCCTTCCAACGTTGCTAGCGCGGCAGCGCCGCCGCTGAAGCTGCTGCTCTCTGCGACGACAAGATGTCCTATCGCTGCAGGCAGGGACAAACACCCCCAATTCACCAAGCCCTTTGCAAACGCAGCAAAACCGAAGCTTGCTACAAGTAGGACGAACCAAAAGCCTTATCTATGTGCTTTCCCGGGCACGCAGTCCAAGGCTCCATAGCCATGTCAAAGCTGAACTGCACATTACCTGCAGCCGGCTCTGGAATGCAAAGCTCAGATTAAGGGAGTTCCTGAGCTCCTGTGCAGTCATCGATTGATTGAGCTCATGAAAGCACTTGAGAATCTTCTCTTTCAGTATCTTTCAAGCTACACAGCCTGCGAGCAAGCCGCACAGGGGCTGAGCGATGTTGCGAAAACCACATTGCCCCAATTCACAGCGGACACGTCAGCAATTGTTCGAATTGCAGCTGTCTCCTGAGCCAGGGGCTCGGAGCGTTGATCATCCCTGTCGGATGGTGTTCATTAACCATGCATGCTAACCTGATGAGAAGCAAGAAGATAGCCTGAAGCTTTATAAAAACACGTCGGCCGCAAAGCGGGATGTCGTCTTGGCCTATCTTTTCGAACCCGGAAGCGTTCAAAAGTTGTGCCGCTTTCACATTTGCAGCCTTCGGACTCAAGTCTTATTGGGCAGGTCCGTGGCATTTGCTTTGCCTTTGGGGATACCTTGCAGGCTTGGGATGCTAAATCATCAGCGTAGGGTATAGGTATCACGCCTCCTAAGCATGCTATGCAAAGGGGATGTCTGTTTGCTTTATCTTGTGGACGCGGCATTGCCCGCATCTTCGTTTTACACCACGAAAAAAACTCGCCAAGCCCTGACACCCTAACCCTATGCCCCAAACCCTCAACCAACGGCCGGCCCCAACCATGGTCCGGGCCCCCCCCCTGTGGTCCCCCTGCAGTAAACGTTTTCATTTTTTCCCACCCGCTTAGCTGTCCGAAAGACGCACCGTGTGGGGGGGGGCCGGGGGGAGGGGGGGGGGGGGGGGGGGGGGGGAAGGGTTGTTTTTGTCGCCCGCCGAACTGAACGTCCACATTGTAGGGGTCTGACTACCTGTTTTTGTGGGGGCCCCCTGTATGAGGTCAATTTGGATGGGCTATTCAGGACACCCTAACTGTGTTCATCCATTCCAACAGGCCCGAAACCAGTAATTCCCTTTAAGGAAACCATTTGAAAAACTGGTTTCGTTCAATCCGACAAAGGGGTGGTCCAGGAGCCCCTCTCTGCCCCGAATAATGGCATTGATTCGGGATCCTGTTTTATGTCAAGCCCCAGCCCGGAGGCTCCGAATTTGGGAAAATCATATGGATATAAACGCATCCCTTTGGAATTCCTACGGATCCCTTCTGAATTCATATAAGGGAATCCCTTGCAAATTCTTTTGGATCCCTTCTAAATTCATATAAACTCATCCCTTTTAAATTCATAAGGGACCCTTTTAATTCATATAAACTCATCCCTTTTCAATTCTTATGGATCCCTTTTACATTCATACAAGCTCATCCCGTTTAAATTTATTTAGACTCCTCCCTATTCAAATCGTATAAACCCCTCGGCCCGTTGAAAGAGAAGCAAATCCAGCCTCGACTGTTCAGGGGGGCGGAGGGGGGGGGGGCAACACTAAAGGAGGAAGAACATTACATTACGGTGCGCTGCACAGGGAGGGTCTGCTGGGGGTTTAGGAGTGAACTTTCTTGAAGCAAGACCAAAAGAGTTCATCGGATCCGAGTACATCATTACTGACCCAACCATTACTGACCCAGTCCAGAAGCCCTCAGAATCTGAAACACTTGACTGCCGGTCCTTGTTTGACACTACGTTCGCTCTGCGTGAGCTTAGGGAGTCACAAACAAGCAAAGAAACGGGCGCACCGCCCTTGCACCTTTGAACCGACACTATCCACAGCAGAGTCTGGGCTACGCGCGCATCTAGGCCGCGTCCAGCCAAGTGTCCCCATGATCAGTGGGATAGCCATCTTCGAGCGGCTCCTCTGCCGAAGGGATACGGCCATTGTGGCCGACCGCAATGACCTCTGACGACAAGAGCGACGGCTTGGCTTGCATGGCAAGTTTTGCCCGCAGGTCTTGAGCTGATGTTATGGTGCAGTGCTAGTACACTTATATTCTGAAGATTGTAAGAACATGCGTTTGAAGGCATTAATTTACCCCTCCACTGACCACACAACATAGCCCTTTTGGCATGCGTTGGACAAGGAGCTCGAAGTTTGGAATTGCTCATGCGCTCAACGGCAGCTCCAGAGATGGGTACCCTGCAGCTCGCCTCACGCAGGGGACAATTCAGAAGGAAACCACATTAGCCCTTGCCCTGCCTGGCTTGAAAGAAACAAACGATGTCTAAGACTACATTCAAAACATCGACTTGGGTTGTGTCTGCGCGTCTGGGCAGGCACGACATCTATTCAGTAGTGCAAGCTCGCTAGTGAATTTGGAATTCACTGTGTGAAAGCCTGAGCCTTTTGACTTCTTTCGACTTGCACCTATCTGCACGTTCTGTTCCAATCGTACACCACAAGCATTCGCAAGCTGTCCAGGTGGCCAGAGACTCTGATGCCCTTTGTAGGGCAAGGCGGGTAGCCTGACAGCAAGGCTAGTGAAGAATCCAAAGTTCTTGCCTCTCACAAGCCTGGACACCTGAATACTTGCAAGAGTCGTAGCATGATCTTCTCGGGTCTCGTGCGGTTTCAGGTGACAGCTACGCTTGGCCTCGGGCAGGCTTGAGAATCGAGTTTGATGATTCTGCATCTCTTGAAGATGCTAGATGCCTCCAGCCCAGCAGCGGCCAAGGGGCCGAGTTCCTGCACAGCATAGGCTTTGAGGCTTTGAGGCTTTGAGGCTTTGAGGCTTTAAGTACCAGAACCAAAAGTCGCGACCTGCCCGTGCAGGCTGCAAAACCCAGTGAAGCTTTTCCAGGAAATCCTTGTTGGACCTCTACGTAGGAGTCCGAAGCACTACCACCCGTCAGAAGATGTCATAAGCGGTTGCACTGACGCTCCTTACAGTTCTTGGTCGTTAGGCCCTTAGTACTGGATGTATTGACAGCACAAATTATTGTGACTACTCACCAGTCACCACCTCCCACCAATCTGGGCAACTGCAACTACTCCAAGTTGCCTTGAAGGACTTGATGTCCAGGCCCAACTTCTTCAAGGATCTCGGCAGATGAAAAGGCTCGGGCGATTAGGGCACGACTCTTGGTCTGCCAGAACTCTCGGGGTTCAAACTCTGTACTCCCTGTTGCAAAGCTTTTTGCCATGACACATTCAGACTCTCATTATTTCCGTCTGTGGCGCTGTCGAGAATGATGAGATGTGCTGAGGCCATGGCAATTGGCCGCTTGTCCGTGGATGTTGGGACCCGCTTGCGTGGGATGCACTAATCAACGGCCTCTTTGCCTTTGATGTAGCTTTCTGCGACTGCGCGGTCTTCGGCGCGGTCTTCGATGCAGTCCTTGATGCAACTGCCTTTGGAACAGCTGCCCGTGAGCTTCTGGTCCGCTGCACTTTGCCATTTGACGATGCCGGCCGCTTTTGGGAGGGCATGATGCCGGCAAGGCGTGTGGGGAGACCGGCGTGCGGGGAGACCAGGAGACCTACGATTGACTCCCGCTTCCCTTGCAGTTGTGAGATGCTTGGCAACCTAGGCTGGCCTAGCATTTGGAGTTAGCCACCTAGCCTTCACATGCATGATAGGCCTCGAGCCGATATAGCGCAGCAGAACGCTTCAAAGAGTACTGCAATGATCACTGTAATCCTGAAGCCAGGCCTCAAGAGCATCCAGGCACATCCAGGCACGCATACTGCAGAGATTTCTGCCAAAGCACTCGACCACCACCTTGACAGTTAATAAGAATCCCAACACGTTTCTGCTCATCGCGCAGGGCCGAATCTCTTTGAGGCTATCGAGCTGCGAAAGGCACTCAAATCCAAGTGCTCAGGGTCCGGAGTATCGCTTGGCAAATGCTGTCAGATACCAGCAGTGCATTTCGCAGGGTTTTGGTACCATGCTGGAAGCAAGGCATGGGTGGACAGGCCAATGCTCCTCGCATATCCCACGGAATTGAAACTGCTTGTGTTGTCGCTCAGTGGCATGGGAGGGCACGTCGCAAGCATACTGAACTATATGAAGTGTACAGTTGCACGTTGCTCTGCCTGGTCCACTTCTACTCACCAACCTCAAATGGAAGTCTGCGGAGCGGCACTGGAAGGAAATTGAAGTCTCTGGGTGAAGCGGTTAGTTGCGCTGGACGCTGGATTTGGGCTTTCTTAGGTA